AAGACCTGGTTCTATCCGCGTTGTCCTAACCGTAAACCTATCACCTTTAACTGTAACAAGCTTGGGCGGTGGGGTAGCCTAGTGGTTAAAGCGTTGGCTCGTCACGCCGAAGACCCGGGTTCGAATCCCCACATGGGTACAATGTGTGAAGCCCATTTCTGGTGTCCCCCGCCGTGATGTTGCTGGAATATTGCTAAAAGCGGCGTAAAACCAAACTCAGGCAGTCAGTCAGTGTAACAAGCTCATGTCCATGTCCAGTTATTTTCACCCATTCAACAGCATATCCTTTAGATCAAGGCGAGGAGTGAGTATGGTTTTAAGCCGCTTTTAGCAATATTCCAGCAATATTACGGCGGATGGCGAGGAGGGAAAACTTGAAGTGACTCAGGTTTAAACGCACGAGCATTGGTCTTGTGCTGACAAACTTTGAAACATGATCAGAGGAATGTAGGATTTGAACCTTCGATCACATTTTTCTTGCCACTCTGTACATCCTTGGGGCGGTGTGGTAGCCCAGTGGTTAAACCGTTCGCTCGTCACGCCGAAGATCCGGGTTCGATACCCCACAAGGGTACAATGTGTGTCCCCCACCGCGATATTGCTAAAATATTGCCAAAAGCGGCGTAAAACCAAACTCACTCACTCACTGTACAACCGTTTATCCCAAGGGGAAGCACCTTACAGTCAATATACTTAGTATATATTGTAAACACCGGCGATTGTGCTTATTGTTCGTCTCAGCCCGACAATCGACTGGTAGTCCCTTCCTTCATTATCTCGCACGACTTGAGACATAACCCATTCATTAGTGAGTGAGTGACTTAAGTTTTACGCCGCATTCCGCAATATTCTAGCCATATAGCGGCGGTCTGTAAATAATCGAGTCTGGACCAGACAATCCAGTGCTCAACAGCATGAGCATCGATCTGCGCTATTTGGATACGATGACATGTGTCAACCAAGTCAGCGAGCCTGACCACCCGATCCCGTTAGTCGCCTCATACGACAAGCATGGGTTACTGAAGATCAAAATTCTAACTCGGACCTTTACGGGTATCCATTTATCAACCAGGAGGACCACGGATAGACATTTCTGAAAGGGGATGGGGGCACTTTTCGATTTGGACCTTCGCAATCCAAGCGAAATATTGCGAAAATGTATACATTCACCAGTCATATGGTTCTTTTTTTCATTTTATACCGATCACTTTTAATATTGAATAGTGTACTGTGTCTTAATGATCTGTTGACAAACAGCGATTTTAGCGTCCGTATAATCCTTAAACCGTTTTCGAAGAAATGTTTTTGTAAGTCCTCGGGCTCTGAGCAATCAGAACCACGTAGCACTCTGTCTGTTTGTAGTGGAGCTGTACAAACATGGCCACCAGCTCCCTGTCACTTCAGAAGTGTTAGCTTCCTAGCAAATTCCACTGTATCATGGGAACGGAAGCATCTACCGACATTTTGTTTCTCCAAAGTGCAATTAGCCGAAATACCAGTGGCTATTCATGCCAGTCAAGGACAGCATTTGGTCGTCTCTGGGGATTAGGTCAGAAGTGACGGATGTATCGGAAACAAGTGCAAGTGCTGTTGAGACTCAAGGTTGATGCTTGAATAAATCACTGCATGTTGAATCATGATCTGTTGGTGTATAAGTTGACGGGTGGCTTCAATGTCATTTCATTTGTCGAATTAGTGAGGCTCTCCAACTCACATTCATTGGCACTTTTATGGAGACACGTTGAGGCCATTTAAACAAACAAACAACAACAACAAAACACGGCGTCCGACGCAATTCCTTATATTGATTTTCAGGTGAATTATTGACTTGCATCTGCATGTGTTTGTGACGGCGCCACCGGTGGAGCAGGATAAGCTCATCTACATTACGCAAAACGGTATATGTTTATGTTTGGCTTGGTATCATGTTGAAATGTTAGAAATGCTTTATGCTTCTTGGAAACCTTCAAAATCATCCCTCTAGACATAGCCTGTCCATAAACATACATTTAGTCCTAACTCATGAAGATCTTGTGAGGTGAGGTGAAATTTGGTTTTACGTCGTGCTTGAGAATATTTCGCTCATATGACGACGTGCATGCGTGTGTATGTGTATGTGCAGCTGCTTGTACTAGCCCAGACTTAAGCAGGTTTTATAGTGCTAGCCCACTGAGATACCATGCCGCAGTAAAGCATGAATACCCCACTCAGACACATTATACGGACTCCGAGCCGACCAGTCCTTGTACCCATTAATGCCGAGCGCCAGGCAGGGACCAACAAGTACTATATTTTAACGTCTTTTCGTATGACGCGGTCGGTGATCGAACCCGCGACCTTCCGCTCTCCGGGCGGACGCTCTAACCACTACACCACGGAAGCGGTCCGTGAAGATCTGGGTCAGAACTGGCCATATAGCTGGACTATTGCTGAATGCTGCGTTGAACAAAACAAACATGTAGTCCCAAACAAGCGAAGACCGTGGTATCTCACCTGTGTGCGAAATAGCCACTGGCCCGCTAGCCCGTGACTAGTAAAAATCACGTCGGGATAGTAAATCTACACAGTCACTGGTCCGACTGGCTAGTGAATGTTCACGGAGTCATTTTGTAAATATAACACTCTCTTAGACTTGTTAAGCTATAATACTCTTTTTTCTAAATCAATCAAGATTATGACCTGATCATATTAGCAGCTTAGTGATGACGTATTTGAGCATAAACAAAATATTTCAGAAATTCAGACATGTGTTTGTTTTGGGTCTTTTGTTTGTTTTGTTTTTTTTCGATTTGTTTGTTGTTGTTGGTTTTTTGTTTGTTTGGTTGTTGGTTTTGTTTCGGTTTTTTTTGTTTTTTTGGGGGGGGATGTTTATGGTATGCTACTTTTTTGTAATGTTTTGCTTAGTTTCTACATTAAAATTCCAGGCTAGTGAATTATTTTGGGGGATAGTAACTTTCAGGCATAGCAAGCCCGACAGGCTAGCAAAATTTGGAAACTATTTCGCACACAGCAAAGTTACACCCTGTTCTAGTGGATAGAGCGGCTGATGCTTAGTTTACTCCCTACCCGCGGCACGCCAAAAATCATAAAAATGAAAAAAAGGACTAATCTGCTCGGATCCCAAACCGGTACAAACAGCCATATACACACGTTGTACAAGTGCAATACGTTTCAACGTGAAAAAAACCCCTTTTCAACTCGCCTAAATAAATCTGTAGTTCTTTATGATCATTATCACAGGTCAACAGTTCCAGCCGTCTTAGTTTTGTGGTTTGTCGTATTTTGCACAATCCATCAAAACCATACACACCCATTTAGAAGTTCCGACTGTGTCAGTATGATGAGCACTCCTCGTTATGGGGGTACACGTTTCTCGCTAGGCATATCTATGGTATCCAATTTATAAAATTTTGAGTCGTATCTGTGCACACAGCCAGTACAAGTAAACTAGACCTTTCACATAGAATGCAAGACAACACAAGCACAGAAGCTTGGGCCTAAATAAATAATTTGCATTAACATTTCATTAACTAAAGACTGTCAATAATTTTGGCATTTTATGACATTCGATGCATGGCATCTGGAATACCGCCCCGCGTATAAAATAGGTATTGGTATCCCCGGTTAACATCATGTGTCACAAAGTTCGTAGCGTTCGTAGTACTACTTAATTCGTAAACCTATGATAAACGATGTAGTTACGACAGCTCGTAATATTACGAACGTTTTGTGGATCGGGACCTTGTAGGGAACTAACGGGATCGGCGGCGGGGTGGGGGGGGGTGTGTGAGGTCATGTTCTTTGACTTGGTTGATACATGTTATAATATCCCAATTGCAAAGATGGGTTCTCATTATGTTGATCACTGGATTGTCTGGTTCAGAGTCGATTTTATAATGACCACCGACATATACCTGGAATATCGTTGAGCAGGGCTTAAACAACAAACAAGGCAATAGGGCCTACAAAACACAAAGTAGAACTGGTTCGATACCGCATGACCGATCCGCAATAGGATCCGTTAACGCAATTTCCCGTGCATCATGAACGGAACATTCACCGTTATTCGAAGACATAATTGACCGCTCTTGCAGGCTGGATACAATTGTCAATTTTAGTTTGGATATGTTTGGTGAGGAGCTAGTCAAGATTTCGTGTCGCCGGAATAGGGCGTGGTTCACATCACGCGCCATTCGTGACCAACTCGTGTTATTCCCGGACAAGCCGAATAGCGTTTACGGAAAGGGGCGAGTGTTGACGAATGGCGCAGAAGCAGACGATCACTAATCAACACTGAATGACAACTGGACATGTGGCACATAATGTGTATTCCGTCAGTGCTCAGGTGAGTGATACTTTCTTCATATCATATATATTATATGTCCATATTTCCCTTTTACTGATACCCATTTTCTAACTACTCTAAGCGGGTGAACTTCTTGGCGATGGTGCTTTGGGGAAGACCTATGGGTAATTGGATCGGATATACAGACATTATCGATTAGTTCAGTATTTACTGTTCGTCATTAAGTTTAAGATGGAGCGTGTATTTTGCCTATGTATGAAACATATCAGGTATATTTTAAAAGATGCATTCAACTCCACCATTTCGACATGACATATGCCTACGTTAACATGACGTCCATGCCCCTACAGCCACGTCTAACAAGAAATTTTACGGACGCTTCAGTGACTATTGGCGAACTACTGGGTGGTCAACTTCACTGAAGTTTTTGTTCTCAAAATTGTGCTGTATTTCATTTCAGTTGTAACTGTATTTTGTGCAGCACTGTAGTTGAACTACAAAGGGCTGAGTCTCTAATGTACTACTGGCCTCCACTACCGAACAGCTTTGGAAGTTTGTTCAAAGAATAAGCATCAGGTGCTTATTAGAGGAAATATGGTAGTGTCCTTGTATTTTCATGGTGCTTGTAATTGAGACAGTGACCTGTGGCACACTCAAAAGCTTCCCGTTTCCTGACTGTGAAATAACAGCAGAACATTTTTGAAGATTACATTTAATGAAAATCAAACATTTTGAGACAACTTCAAATACATCATATTATACAATTCTGTACAAATAACATTGTTTATAATAACAGGCAAAATATTACCTCAGGTTAAAAATTATGACATGAATTCAAGAATACATTAGACATAACTATTTTTCATAGATATCATATTTTAAAAAGAAAATCTGAATTTTTCTTGAATCTTTCTTCAATTAAAAAGGGTTTTCAAATTGACAGAATGTAAAATTGATCTTTAGGGATAAAATTTACTTTTTTAACATTTATTGATAGACATTTGTTTATTCAATGCAGCAATCATGTAACATATAAATGCTTTACTATGGCCTGAAAACAGAATCCAAGGTAACTATGGTTACATGATTCCGAGACAGAGTACCCATAGTTCCTTTTTAGGATCTGTATATATGTCTATACATGTTACGGGGTGCAAATTATACATGATCATGTATTAGAAAATTTGAAAAGGTTAAAAATTTATGACAAACACGTAATAGATATATTACATATCCACACAAACATGGAAACACTGTATGTTAGAAAATACAATATACTAAACATAACATTGTTTGATATAAAACTGTGTCAGACAAGAACCATTGTGAGTGATAGCATTTGTATTTCTGTTCATCAGTAGCTAATGTAGACGTACATCTTGTCTACAGCATATTATTGTTATAACAATTTAAGTAGATATAAGCTGTTCTGGGGTAGTTCATTGTGAGAAATTCATTAATCATTTTCCTCCTCCTACTCAATTTGACACGTCCCAATGCCATCGTTATCGTAACGTATACACGCATGCACACAAATTCAGGACCCTTCGATTTATCTTTGGACTGTTTGACCACTAGTAAAAAAAATGTAGTATGCAGATAAACAATTTAGCATGTCCACTTTCAAGTGGTGTTTATTATTTTCATTTAAACTAAGGCCAGACTAATTTCATTTCTTTTTTAACGTATCCTACGGATCTGCCGGTCATATTTTTTCAAGAATAAGAAGGATTTTTTTTGCCCCATATAAACTTCATAAATTGCCAAAAATAAAATACTTTAGTATTTAAAAGCAAAATTATTTTGACTAGTGATTTTTTTTTTCCCTCCTGCCTTTAGGTTTTCTGAGGACAAAAATCTGTAAAACAAGAAATAAAATTGGTCTGGCCTAAAGATGAATATTTATCTTTTCTGAATGTGTTTTACAAAAACGTCCAATAAAATGTTAGGTAGGTTGACCTGGAGTTAGTGAGACTCATGTCTTTCAGTAATGTAGGTATTGAGTGTCCGAGTCTAACAGTCATTTCCATACTGTCTGTCACAGCAGACTGTCTCCCAGACCCTTGAGAATATATTTTATTGGATTTGCCAAGTCTAGATGTTCTTGTTCTCCATCATTGATTTCATTTGTATATATATTTTTTTATTTTTTTTAAATAAGATAACTTTATTTCTGGGATTAAATGCCTGTCAGTCTGTCTGTCACTGATTCAACTTGACCGATAGGTACTCAGTTGCCTGTCATTCAGAAATGTTCATTCTGTCTGTCACAGGTTCGACGTCATGAAGGTCGACCTGTAATTTGTGTGATGCCTTGTCAGGCAGAAACATTCATTCTGTCTGTCACAGGTTCGACGTCATGAAGGTCGACCTGTAATTTGTGTGATGCCTTGTCAGGCAGAAACATTCATTCTGTCTGTCACAGGTTCGACGTCATGAAGGTCGACCTGTAATTTGTGTGATGCCTTGTCAGGCAGAAACATTCATTCTGTCTGTCACAGGTTCGACGTCATGAAGGTTGACCTGTAATTTGTGTGATGCCTTGTCAGGCAGAAACATTCATTCTGTCTGTCACAGGTTCGACGTCATGGTCGACCTGTAATTTGTGTGATGCCTTGTCATGCAGAAATGTTCATTCTGTCTGTCACAGGTTCGACGTCATGAAGGTCGACCTGTAATTCATGTGATGCCTTGTCAGGTACAAATGTTCATTCTGTCTATCACAGGTTCGATGTCATGAAGGTCGACCTGACATTTGTGTGATGCCTTGTCAGGTAGAAATATTCATTCTGTCAGTCACTGGTTCAACATCATGGACGTTGACCTGTAGTTAGTGAATCATCTTGTCCTACAAATTGGTGCAGTCCGTCACAGATTCAATATGATATACTCAGTTTTTCGTTTTCACAGTTTGTGCACTCACTCCAGTGTCTTCTAAAGATTTTCTTTAACTGAAGTCAATACTTTTGAAATTTGTGTGATCACCATCACAACTCACTCATTCACCCATCTCAAGTGAGTGCATAGGCCTTGTCATCGATGTTGTTAACAGATATATTCATTTCCAAATTGCATTTCCTCTAAACAGCACATATTTCCTGTTTAACAGTTCTATTACAGTATTCACCATTATAAGCCTTCTGGGTGCTTAGAAAACTGACAAAATGAGCAATTATTAAAATGCACTCAATTTAAATTTTGTTTTTAGTTAAAGGCTGGGTGAATTTTGAGGAACCTTTTGATGACAGCTACTAGACAATTATATACCACTTTTCTGCTGCTGTTTCCTGAAAGAGTATGTAATATAGACAGGTAAAGAATTTTCAGTCTTAGTGAAGGCTCATATGAGGATCACATTGGTCAAAAATTGGTCATGGATGCTTATTGAAGGCAGGGACTTAATACTGCAAATATGGTACTTAGTTTATGTATGTCATCGGGTCACAACATTCTGTATTATGATCCAGAATAGAAGGATCCTGAAAGAAGGATCAACTAATGATCACAAAATATTCCAGTTGTCATGGTAACCGATTGTTTGAACAATGAATGACTGTGCAACATGAACATCACCACATCTATGTGAAAGAGACAATGACAGGACTTCAAAACAGTAACGTTAAAAAAATATTGCACTCCATAAAAGTACCAAATGCATATTACGTGTTTCAACTGCCATGAATATCTCAAGCCCTCCAAACAATTTGTGTATCAGGCAACCTGACCAATCTAGTGTTTTTACCTGCCCGTCAAGAAATTTATGTTTCACATAATAATAAAATGGCATGTTCCCATATGTTATCATTGCTGTAGAGCTATAACTTTAAGAAACATTGGTATAAATTTTCCAAAATATTCATCCATGTTAAGCAGTTTTTAAAATATTCTAATAAGGTACCTACCAACCCATATCTATGTGCCATGTTGCCTGACACACAAGTATTGATATACTCATGGAAACAAATAAGGGAACACATGAAAGCAAAAGTGTTCCTATATTCTTTTCCAAGTTTCTTTGCATGTTTTGTATTGCATTCTGGGAGAAAAGCATAAAGGAACACATATCCTTTCATGTGTTGCTTTATTTGTTTCCTTGAGTATATGTTGGCCATATATGAAAGCATCATCCAGCAAGAGGTTAGTACAACTGTGTCATGGTGTAACATGGTCACATCTCCAAATACATGCTTTACAAGAACAGCACACCTTTTGTTGTCATGTATTGAACCTTGTGACATCACCTTTTTCCTTGGATAAGTTCCAAAGTGATTTTAATGGGGCTTTAAATCATATTGATAATTGATTTTATTACGAAAATGTATATGAAAATTTAAAGCAAAACATTTACAAGAACAGCACACCTTTTGTTGTCATGTATTGAACCTTGTGACGTCACCTTTTTCCTTGGGTAAGTTCCAAAGTGATTTTAATGGGGCTTTAAATCATATTGAAAATTGATTTTATTACGAAAATGTGTATGAAAGTTTAATGCAAAAAATTTCGAAAACATGTTTTCAACAATTGAATTTTTGAAATCTGTATACTGCTTGATTTGTAACATGATATTCATGGTGTTTTAGGTAAGCTCAAATCTCCCTGCAAACTCAAATTCTGTTCTTCCATCCAAACAGGTTAATTCCTTATGCATTTGTAACAACAAAGTTCTCATAATGCTATGAGTAATATGAAAAGTTGATGTGCCGTTCATGCCATTGACGGACACTGACACTAATATGAACAGCTCAAATTATGCCGCAGTTCCAGTAGAACCAACATGGTTGTCATGAGACATACACGTCTCTGCCAGTGCCATTCAATCATGGTACAAATCTCCATTCTAATGTACCTACTACTCTATAATAAAAATATAGAAAAATAGATGAAAATAATGGACTAAAAAAATAACAGCAAATCCAAGGTATTGAAAAGTTAGTTAAATGTTTCTTTCCTTCACTGTGTGGATATTTTTCAAATGTCATATGTATATATGTGTGTGTATCAGAGTTTGAATGAGTGGTTCCATGCAAGTGGTCTTGTGGACACCATGTCCATCTCTGGACTAAGAGTTCTGTGTTTAATTCCAAACTTCAATTTAAGGTGTTTATGTACACATGAGACATGCCTGCTATTTGTTCAATATGTTAGCCATTTTTTTCAATAATTTCACTATAATTAAATTGTTCAGAATTAATTAAGCTAATTCTATGATTGTTTGTCACTTTTCAGGATAGATCAATTCTATGGATTTTTTAAGATTTGTTTGGTCAATATGTCAAGGACAGTACGTAAAATAAGGGAATGAAAAATGTCAGGGTTCTGTTGAATGTATGTTTGTAACATGATTCTATTTTCAATATCAGTGGAGAAGAAATACCAGTGGTCCATTTCAGTGTTTATTGTAGTGTATGCTATACGGTAACTGAAGTTTGAGATTTGAGTAATGTAACATCAGATATAAAAAAACTCCAATTCTTGATGTAAATAATGATAATGTAACTACAACAAGAATGAAGGTAGTCATGGTTACTAAAACTTGAATAACATAACATGATTTGAAAATATTAGAGAAAAAGCAGTGAAAATAAATAACTTTCTCAATAGTGTCAATAATGTCATTTTCATTAACAAAATGACATGCTTACAGATTTGAAAAAGTATAGATATACATCTTTTAATTAATTACGTAAGCTTCTACATTCATGGCAGCTGGAGTTGTTTCTTACACTTAATGTATGATATCTGATATGCCATGTGCATTGAAATACTGTAGATTTGATACCAACATATATGACATATATGCCTTGTATGAAATATTTCATAAGCCAAAATGGAAATTTCATTGTTACTAATTTATACAACTCTACTGAATTTGACATTGTCAACCGTTAATGATATATATCCTTTTTCAAATGTGTCATGTTTTCTCAAAGTGAAAGGTTTATATCAAATTCCTTTGCCACAGAGTCTTAATGAAAGAAAGTCAACCAAAACATGAATGACAAAAATGAATATACAGATATTATGCCGGAGCTGTAGCCATTAACAGGATCCACCCATTACTACTGGTCATCTTGTACTACTGGTATACCAGGCTAGTCTACCACCGCTGTACATATCACAGTCTCTGGGATTCCAACGGGATTTGCCCGTCAAGCATCTGATCATGCCCTGTCTGTCAAATTCAGATCCCAATTCTTCCTTCTTTTGGTGCTGAAGTGCACATAACCATTGCTGAGACTTCTGGCCTCGATTTTCAGCTGTCCAACAGGTCTGGGTACTGAATAACCTCTGGAAATCTTTCTCTGGCAGACGTCAATGTCGGCCATCTTGAATCACCAAACTGCGCACTTGTGAGGGGGATTCATTTTAGAGTTCAAAGGGCAGCCGAAGGCTTCTGTGAAACTGTGTGAATTTTGTAATGTTCCTATCACCCTGTAGAGAATAAACGTTTCATTTAGACACATTTCATGCATGGAATAACTCTCATAAAGTACAGTTACAGAGCCTTCTGTGATCCTGTATGTAAAGTTTGATATATAAAAAGCAAATCTCATAAACTACAAATGGAAAAAGGGAACAATATTTGAGGTCAACATATAATGGATAGTGTTTTTGACATGTGATAAACCAATCTGATTAACTTGGTATCATCATCAGATAAATATGCAAATCAGGTCACCAAGCAGGAATAATCTCAAACTCCATGCATGGGTGTTATGTCTGCAATTGCTCAAATAACTCTTGACTTGTTCCAGAAAGTTTAGAAAGTTGAAAACTAATGTATGTCTGTAATATTATTTCTGTAGACAAACATGGCCTGAGATGGTGTGGGGCGTTATGGGATAAAAGACACTGTTTAATCAAAGTTTGTATTAACATGTGGGGGGATTGAAAGTGAGAAAGCTTCAAAGAGTGAAATTACATCAGAAACACCAATTATGTATGTTAAAAATGGTCATTAACTTCATGAGTTACAGTATTATAAATATCATGTTTTAGCGTTAACATAATGTTTTTCTTGATGATGTTATTAATACCGAAAGCTGATTGTCTCTGACCCTTTTATCAATAAGAGTTATTTCTAACTGAAATCTAAGGTTAATTCATCATTACAAATTTCTAGAATTCCTGCAATACCCATTCTCTTCCCACAGAGGTTACTCCTGTCATATCTTCCTACGTAACCTCTGTTCTAATATGGTGGTGTGAGCGTTCAAGACTCGTGATTGGAGGCAAGCAGATTTAGTTGTGCAATGAGCGACGTTGTTTCAAAAGTGATCATTCGCAAGGCCTCGGTAATTTCCGTATGCTTCGAGAAAACTACACTTCTTCCCCTGCGCGATGCGCAAACGTTTCTTCTAGATAGAACTCAGTCATGTTATGGTGGATCAGTGGCGTCTCCATCGCCCTAGTTGACAACGGACAAGCTAGCCTTTAAACGTCTTGTGTGTAACATCAACACAAGTCCCCGGCAGATGGGGGATATTTGTGGCCCCACATTTGCTTGTGTTAGTCAAGTTGAATCTAAGTCAGTGTAACACGTGTTCTGATTGGATAGAAAGAAGGGAGATAATTCATGTTGCGATCTTTTGCCGCTAGTGGATTTTACAAGAACCGGGAAATATGCCCGTATTAGAACAGAGGTTCTTAGGAAGATATGACAAGTAACCTCTGTGGGAAGAGAATGGCAATACCGAACTTTCTACGATTATGTAGATGTAAATTGAGCTCAGAAAGTCATTCACTGGTTTACAGGCTGTTGTCATGGAGTGTTGTATATTGTTGCGTTACCGGTATATACCAGCACGCTTTACAGGCTATCAAACAACTGCTAACTTCATACACTTGATGGAATCTAATGACAAAGATGTATCATATAAACTTGGACTGTATCTATCTAAAGTATTCACCATAAAATCATCTTCAAAAACTTAAACTTAATGCATGCAATATAATACGTTTGTAATTTATCATGTATTATGGGCCTATGGCCCTTTTACAAAATAAATTTGTCTGTCTGATTGTGGCATTAGGCAATGCCCAAACAAACGAGGACTTAGGTATCTCACCTGAACCTGCCCGGACTGTGCACTCCAGTACGTATCCTGTTGATGGCTGCCTCAGGCCTCATAGAGCCGCACCACACCTGGAACATGAAGTCGGTGTGCAGTCACTGAACAAGAGGAACTATAAGCATCACCTGAGCAGTTTTATTTCTTGAAATTTTAACCAATCACTGCAACCTATGTGAAACTAGACCCACTTCTCATGAAAAATTTCACCTTGGCACCATACTGTTTTATGGTCACTTTATCAACATCCTTCATCTTCTAAGCGACTCACTTGTTATGTTACAATGACGTTATAAGTCATTCCATCCTGTTTACTATACCATCTTCAGTGACATTATGAACCCACATCAACCTCAGACCAACTAACATGTCTACCATGCGCCATTACAGTCTTCTGAGTGACTCATCAGTCAACCATTCTTAATAGAGTGATGTTATCAATCCAGCTTGTCCTCTAAGCAACTCACCTGAGCAAAGTTGAGGAAGAAGAGCTGAAAGTGGTCCAGATGGGCCAACCCTGGCAGCCTCTTCTCCTCTTTCGGCTGGGCCTCTGCCCACTTCCTGTATGCCTGAAGTAAAGGATTGAGGGATAGTTAACATGGATTTTGCTATCATGGTCACCACCCACTTCTGCCTCAATTGAAGCAATGTGAGATAGTCACCACAAACCTACTTTTATGGTAACTGCCCACTTCCTGTATGCCTGAAGTGAAGCATTATGGGATCATCATCATAGACAACCTATTGTACTAACGTGACCGCTCATCTATTTTTGTGTTACGTAAAGCTGTGCTTGGTACTCATTTGATAAAGTACTTGAATGCTTAAAACTTAACACATTGCTTTAAGGTTTGGCTAACTTAATGCCAGCCATGTTTTACAGATGTTCTTGGCTATTAAATAATAACAAACAGTTTACGAAGTTCAAGGGCCCACAAAAATGGATCCAGGTGTAGGTGAAGCTTTACCAACTGTGGACCCTGGAGACATTGAGGAACTGTTAGACTTACTGTGTAGGCTTCCTTCAGTCCTCCATTGTCTGCGATGTTCTCCCCTTGAGTCTGAACACCATTTACCTGTGGAGTAAAGCATGGAGCCAGGTAAAAACTGACTAGATCCAGGTTAGATCTGGTATTCACCAACCTTGCTTGTCTTAGAGGCAACTAAAGTGAGAGGCAGATGTAAGATGGGATGTTTGGTTGTGCTGTTGTTGGGGATTGAATTCTAATAGTTTATTATAATGGCCAATATGTTTCATGTCTTTCAGTGGCATTTAGAAGTTGTACATTGATGTCCAAGATATTTTTATGGATTAAACTTCTTCTTAATTTCTCTCACAACGTTTCGAGACCATTCCAGGTCCCTTCATCAGGTGAAGTGGCAGTTAGGACTATGACGTCGTCAATATGCTTCATGTTAAAACCTGATGAACAAAACTACACTAGAATCTTATATGAAAGTATAATCATGCAAGCTTGCATGTTGAGCTGTGAGGAATAATTCAAACAGGCGATACCTACCTTCATGTTGACTTGTGGTACAGTAAAGTTTCCATACTGTTTGATGATACACTGAGCACGTTCTTTGAACTTCTCGATCACATGATCATCCCACCATTGGATCAGGTTGCCATCCTTGTCAAACTGACGACCTGCATATGGTGAACAGTCAGTAAAACATCAGCGGTGCATTGGTGAAATATCAGTAAAACATAATAAAACATCAGAAACACACCAATAATATGAGTAACTCATCAGTAACATCAATCAAACATAGACATATTAAACATCAGTAACAAGACAGGAATGATACTATATAGATGACAACTTCTTTATTATATTATGATGCAACGCTTCAGTAGAGAATCTTATACCATTGTCAAGCAAGAGAGACTTGGTATAGATTCTTATGCTGTTGTCGGGCAAGAAACTCTTGCTTGACAACCGTATTATAATCTATACTTAAAAGTCATCATTCTAAAAAATCTTAACATTTTTAAAATGTTTTTCTTCTAAAATGCCAATCAAACAAAACATCAGTAACAGATAAGCAGTAATATCCGTGAAAACAGTCATCCATGATTAATACAAGATAATGTTTTGACACTGTCATCATATATTAGCAGTAGTTATTACCAAGCATTTGATAAATATTCAAATTTGTTAAAACCTCTTTAACCCACAGATATTGCTGATTCATATGTATTTTCTTTTGAAAGTGCACAATGTTTCATTACTTTAATCAGAGTTTTCTGTTCATGTTCCTAACTAACAGATTGTGACAAGCTTTTAAGTCATACCATGTGTAACATCTTACCTCTGTCGTCAAAGCCATGCGTGATCTCGTGTCCAATCACCATACCAATGCCACCATAGTTAAGAGACCTGCAAGAGAATGTCACACAATAAATAAAACATATTTAAAAATAAGAATGAGTGTGTAAGTAAGTTTTACACCACTTTTAGCAATACAGCAGCAATGTTATTTAGTAGCGACACCAGATATGGGATCCACACATTGTCCCTCCCAATATGGAAAAATACCTATGTCTATCATATTGTTGCATAATGCAATTAACTCATCCCCGATCTTTTCCATTCATGTATTTACCCTGTCAATATGTCTGACCTAAACTGTTTTCTTTTGAAAATTGCCCGGAGAGCGGAAGGTCGCGGGTTCATTCCTCAGCCGTGTCATACCAAAAGACGTTAAAATGTGGTACTTGTTGGTGGTCGGCTCGGACTGGTCGGCTCAGAGTCAGTATAATGTGTCTGAGTGGGGTATTCATGCTTCACTGCGGCATGGTATCTCAGTGGGCTAGCACTATAAAACCAGCTTCAGTCTGGGCTAGTACAAGCAGCCGCATATACACATACACACGCATGCACGTCGTCATATGAGCGAAATATTCTCAAGCACGACGTTAAACCCAATTTCACCTCACCTCACCTCTTTTGAAAATTGGATTTGATAAGAAGTTACAATTAGTTTGACGATATTGAAGTCCAAAACACAGCTGTGATACATGCATCAAATACATCACCATCGAATAATCATTACTAGCTTGTTTCATTTTTAACCACTATCAAAAACATGTATACTTTCTTTTGCCTGGCAGATAGTTTAATGATCACTGTTAATTGAATTGTCACTGTTTTTGTAATAAAATGCAAGTATAGTGATTGAAAATAGGATATTGTAGAAAATATATAAGTGCAGATAGTTATTGGATGAAAAATTGAAATCTTGCTTGAGATCATTTAGTTACAGATCACAGTTTTAATGAAATATCAGCAGTGACATTGTGATGCATACTAATGCATACAACTTTATGAATAATAACTTCTTGTTTAATTTACAGAGTAACGTTTCGGTGTCGATTCAAGCTTCCTGCTTGAAAACTGTTTAAGAATGTACACCGAAACATCGCACTGTGCAATAAACAAGGAGTTGTGACCCATATAGTTGTAAGCTTTATTATTGTCTTGCCAACGTCTAGAATGCCATTCAAACAATGATTGAGATGCATAGCTATCACAATTACAGATATGAAAGACTCACTTCGGGTATCCTTTGCTGTAGAATGGTGGTTGAAGAATGCCAGCAGGGATCACTGTGAGAAGAAAATGACTCACATTTAACTTATCTCCTTCGTCTTAGTGAAAGTTTTTTGTTTGTTTAATGTAACAGAGCAATATTTCAGCAATGTGAAGGCTACCAACAATAAGCAAGTCTAGACCACGCAAATCTGGTTGACATTTTAAGCAACAATCCACATCACCAGATGACAAGTAATCAGTGTCGTCACAGAGCCTGACTACTTGAATATAATAATAATAATAATAAATGGATATTTCTTATCCGCCATAGTCCATCCAGAGCATGCTCAAAGGGCTACATATAAAAAGAGTCACTAGAGTTCAAGAGGAAGATATGACAATTAGCCAAAAATAACCGTGAGAATATTTCGCAGTTATAGGTTGTAGACTTTTTTGAAGAGGAAGGTTTTGAGTCCCGATTTGAATGCATCTAGGGATGAAGCATTTTTTATGGGAGTAGGAAGACTGTTCCATAGGGTTGGTGCTGCAAATATGAATGACCTATGGCCAAAGTGTTTGAGACGAACTTGGGGAACTGAGAGAAGATGTTGATTCTGAGATCGGAGAGAACGGGCAGGCATATATGTTGACAACATCTCAGAGAGGTATGGAGGAGCTTGAACCTTTGTGATACTTATTCTAACACAAACTATCCAAGGGGAGACAAGCATAAGTTTCTGCATCATCAGTTACCATCAGATGACATTACATCTCCCTTCCCACTGTCGACTTTATTTTCAAAATAAGATTCTGTTTTGACTCTTAAGTAGATAAAACCAACTCACTGATTTGATTTTTCGTTGAACTGTAGAATGCATTCACTACAACTGGAGTTGTGGACCATCTGATGAAGGAACAGAGTCACTCTTTAGTATTAGAGACATTAGAACATCAACAAAATGGAGGAACAGAGTCGCTCTTTAGTATTAGAGACATTAGAACATCAACAAAATGGAGGAACAGAGTCGCTCTTTAGTATTAGAGACATTAGAACATCAACAAAATGGAGGAACAAAGTCACTCTTTAGTATTAGAGACATTAGAACATCAACAAAATGGAGGAACAAAGTCACTCTTTAGTATTAGAGACATTAAAACATCAACAATATGGAGGAACAGAGTCACTCTTTAGTATTAGAGACATTAAAACATCAACAATATGGAGGAACAGAGTCACTCTTTAGTATTAGAGACATTAGAACATCAACAAAATGGAGGAACAAAGTCGCTCTTTAGTTCCAGAGACATTAAAACGTCAACAATACGGAGGAATGCAGTCACTTTTAGTACCATAAAAACATCAAGAAAATAGAGGAAGGCTTATCAAACGCTTTCCTGAAGGAAATGCAAGAAAGTAACACGCAAATGTAGCAACCATCTATTTTCAAGTCCAGTGATACATACACAAGACATTTGGTAGTGGTGTCAGTAAGTTCAAAGTAAATGCTTTAAGGTATTGTCAGAGTATCATGACCACTGCTGCTGGCATACTTGTTTCTGAAACCACAGCCTCAGTATCATGTATATCTCATTCATAGCCCTGGATATTTCTTTGAGGGGTTTATCAGTCATTTTTAACTCCAAGGTTTAACTGATCATTGTAAGATTGTAGTTTAATAAAATGTAGTAAGTCAATGAAAATATTTGGCTGAATTGAAAAGAGTGTGTATGACCACTTGTTTTACAGTCATCAGATCATTTGTTTCCTTAGACAACTAGTTATGGTATCATACCAGAAATGAGACTGCAGACTCCGTACATGGAATTTAGGGGTCTATGTAAAGGTTACCTGAGGCTCGGTAATCAGGATGCAAAATGAAATTTGGTACTCAGATTCAAGATTTAAAACATATAATGGTAAACATAAATATAATATAATATAATATAATATAATATATTTAAAACATTATAAATTTAACATTAAATCACACCATTTTCTCAATAATTTCCAAATTTATTTTGAGTACAGCAAACTATGATTTTAACAAACACACTTATTATGCACTGATCAAAATAATGAACTGTTTTTTGGGTCACTGCCATCAGCTATTTGTTTCAGTCGAAATGTGTAAAACAAACTAAACGTTTTGGGCCCTTTGAGTTTGTTATAATCATATTATTATTAGAGATTTAGGGATGAACTCTCAATGAGTGCAAAACTGGATGGTCTTTATGATTCTGGGGAGTAGGGAGTTGGCACCGTCAGAAATGCATTTATGTCACACAACAGCACCCAGATGTGACATAAATATGTTCTTACTGAGACTTGTCAACCGGTTCTCTGAGTTTTTTAATGTTGGTGAGTGCTCTGCTCTTGATGTTGGCCATCACATTCTCAAAGTAGCGGTCTTTGTAAAACTCCACCTGAAACAGACATAAGATGAAGAAAGGCAAATTAGTTTCAAAGGTCATTTTACAAGCATTAAGGGTTATTTTTCAAGGATAATATGCTACTGTTATTTGTTATAATAAATCCTTGGAATATGGCTAAGTGAGGATACAAGTGGTTAATGTATTTGCTCCACATGCTTAAGGCCTGGGTTGAATTCCTCACAATGTGTGAAATTCATTTCTGGTGTCCACTGCTGTGATAAAGCTGGAATATTTCTACAAGTGACGTAAAACCCTCATTCACATTTTGTATGAAGACAGAATGGACCCACAGTTCCCCATGCTTGTTTCCAGAGCATACTGTGTTTGAACAGGTCTTTGTTTAGTCATTGTACCCTGTGCTATCACTGGTAGGCCATTATGTCCATTCTCAAGTTTTAGGTGAATATAGAATGCAAAATTTGTGTCTGCTAGAACCCTGATTATTGACACTTACATCAGCGTATTCCTTGTCCAATGCTGGGTCCTTCAGGATGAACTCTGGGTAGCCAATCTTCTCAGCAATAGCATCCGCCTGTAATAGCAAGTTGTAACCCTAAACATACACTCCTCACCATGTTTAAGGATCCTCTATCAATCTCTCTCTAATCTCTCACTACTCTGCCCCATCATGTAGAAGGTTCTTGGAATACCCATTTCATTATAGAAACAGTGCAGCATAAAATGGAATAGTTCCTCAACAAGAAAATACATCCCCTATACCTATTCCATTTCAAGCAGTATACATTTCTTGAGCCCACTGTGGAAATCCCCTCTAACAAAGCTCATGTCCATGAGAGGATCCAAGGGCAGATTAGGCCTCAAGTATATTTTGCTTGTCTCCCTGTGGAAATGGTCAGAATCTGTCCCCTCTACCCTGCCCATCCCTCCACAGAGATTCATGGTCACAATCAGTTCCCACGACCCTGTGGTCACAATCAGTCCCCAAGACCCTGTGCCCATCCCAGCATAGAGATTTGTGTTCAGAGTAAGTACCATGTACACCTTGCTTGTCTCCCTTTGTCCCACTTTCTCACCTTTTCGCGAGCAACAACTCTAGTTGTTTCATCCATCCAGTCAGCTTCCTCCAGCACGTGGTAGAAGGAATAACGGATGTTATGGATCATCTCCAGGGCCTTGATAAGAAAATGAAACAATACATTGCAGGTGCTGGATAAACTAGAAATGAATAAATTGCAGGTACTGACTGACTGACTGAGTTTAGTTTTACGCCGCTTTTAGCAATATTCCAGCAATATCACGGCGGTGCAGGTACTGGATTAACTAGGAATTAATTAATTACAGGTGTTTGATAAACTAGGAATGTAGTATATATAGACTGCAGATACTGCATCAGGGCTCCAGATAATTTTTCATGATCAGGAGTACGTACTCCTTATTTATTCAATATAGGAGTACTGGAAAACCTTAAGAGTACATTTAGAGTACTGAATGGAAATTAATGGCGTATCAGTAATCTTGTGTTTCATTTCATATATGCACCACAACATTGCTACTCTTGTGTAAACAGGTCAATAGACAATAAAACAATACTTTTCAGATAAATACGTCAGTAAATGATTCTAAGACCGTACACCATTGCTGTGGTGCGTATCTGCTACGCTTTCTAAACTATTTCCTACCGTATCTTGCATATTTTTTATCCGACATACGCCGATACGACCCTTATCTGGAGCTCTGCTGCATAAACTAGAAATGAATGAATTGCAAATACTGAATATATGTGAATGAATTGCGAGTGCTTCCATAGCATTTGATTAGCTTAGCAAACATTATTTCTGCCTTCACGTTTCCATGTGTACCAAAACAATTAAAGGCCACTAACAAACTACTGTTTAGTTTTTGTGTACATGATTAGATAAGTTGCATCCACTCGGCACTCGAGAAACCTGTGTTTGCCGGTTTGCCCAAATGTTGTCTCAAGGTCTTCTAGAATCATATCTGGGATCATGGTTTTACCAAAATGGCTGACACCTTCGTTACTTCAGGCTTCCAACACCTGTCGTACTGAATACTGTTTCAACTTACTATACTTTTAGCATCTTCATCAAAATGTTTCTCTACAAACAACCTGCCGACAGCATTGCCCATGTTGTCATTGACGTAGGTGGCACAGTCACGCCATCTTGCTCTTTCTGTCTCTGAGCCCAGAATTTTCTGAAACAAGATACCATTTGCTTCAATAATATTTGTTTGTTTATTGTTTAATGCCACACTCAGCAATATTCCACCCATATGAAGGCGGTGTGTAAATAATAGAGTGTCATTGGCAGATCGAGTTGGGGGAGAGAGATTTCAGGGTGCTTCAACCCACCCCAACCCCAACCCCCAAACCACACACACACACACACACCCAATCCCACTTTAAAATTACTAAGGGAGGAAGGAGAAAGGTTCAGGGGGTTCGAAACCAAACACACACACACACACACACACACCCCAACATTTTTCTAATTAATGTTGTTGTTGTTTATAACTAATGCTGTCATGCAATGAAATGCACGCATGCAAGAAAGACACTGGAATTGTAATTAAACAATAAAAGTGGTTAACATTTTACAATGTGCATAGCTTTACGCTGTTGAGCGCATGTTTGTTCGTGAATATTTGTCAAATTTGATGGTTAGTTTACTTCATTTAAGTGTATTATACAAAAACAACAAAATTCCAATTAATCGAAAATATGTTTTTTACAATCTATAATCATTATTAATCCTTCTTTTGATCGATTTTCAATTATTTTCGATCATCGGAACATCACTAGTCTAGCCAATCCCAAACATGGACTACTGAAGACCAGTTCTAACCCGGATCTTCACAGGTACAACTAACAAGTAGACTGACTGACTGTATGGTTTTACGCCGTTTTTAGCAATATTCCAGCAATATCACGGCAGGGGACACCAGAAATGGGCTTCACAAATTATACCCATGTGGGGAATCGAACCCGGGGCCTTCGGCGTGACAAGCGAAAGCTTTAACCACTAGGCAACCCCACCGCCCACTAACAAGTAGAACAGAAACTGAGGATATAGTAGGATATAGCAGTGTCTGCTTCATGATATTGCTCGAATAGTGCTGTTGTACAACCCTTCTAACACATTCACTGAGAAGGTTCTAAAGCGGTGCCTGGACTTCTGCATTTGTCAAGCCTTTATTGGAATCAGTCTCGTATTTCGTATCAGTGAGTGATACCCGGAGACTTACCTTGTAGTAATCTTTGCGGACGTTCCTGTACTTGTCCGGCAGGTTGGTCACCCCGGTTCATCATGATACGCCACACCAGATAGTTGAATATCACTCTAAAACACAGCCATTACAACTCATTGTTCGTAGAATCATCCTGGTTGTGATTATGTAGGAATATACAGAGATGTGATTGATAATTTGAGTCTGTGGTTAAAGCTAAGTATTGGCTAAATGCACTCGTTTTTCTTTATTCCTTGCAAGCAAATGTTTTCATTTCATTATTCTTTAAGAATAATGGAACGAGTGTGTAAAAACCTGAATGGAACTGTCTTGGTAAAAATGTAGCAATGAATTAAAGGGAAAATGTTACATGTCAGTATTTCCATGGTTGCAATGTTTTAGCCAATCACAGTTAATCGTAGCAAAGAAATGTTCAGACCAATCATTGCACTAGAGGAAATATATTGTTTCAAAGGTACTGTTTCAGTCTTGTTATGGCTATAATGAGTTCCTGTTCATCATTGAAAAAGAAGTTGCTCAACACTGTTTATGAGTGTCATTGAACCAGATCAGCTCTTGTAGAAGGCTAAAAACTGTAATAACCCGTCACAGCACTCAGGAAAATATCTTCTCGTATCTTTACCGTTGTAGTCGTTTCTTATTGGAACATTGTTTCTAACACAGTAGATTATCTGCGGCTCACCTCTTGTCCCATCGGTGCAGAATCTTTACCATGTTCTCCAGGTAGTCAGGGGCGTACACTACAACCTCTTCTACGGTGTCGATGGCAATGTTGACGTGACCAAATATCACGGATAAGTATCTCAACCAGTCAAACTGAAATCCGGTAAACATTTATTACGTATGATTAAAGCAATTTAATTATAGGCTTTGAATCAGCTGCAATTTGGTAATATAGAATTGCATTTGCCAATCAAATTTGTGGGTTAAATCTGGGCACCAAAAATTTGGCCTCTAAATGAGGTTATTTCACAAGCAGCTTGTATCAAGATACCGGTAGATGCCGTGTCATCGAAGACAGGTTCCTATGTACAGAAATGTGTTTGTAGCACAAATCCATTCAAGCCACTTGCTATTTCATATATTATGCTCAGATAAAAAACTATGAGTCTTTTCTCAGGGTTTTCACATCATTGGAATTTACCTGAGCACATCCTTAGATTTGTCAGCATATGCACACCCTTTCAGGTTTGAGTGAAAAATATGTTTCATCACTTCAGGCTTTGCTCCCATTTCATGCTGTAATATAGTTGGAAATACTGTTAACAGCAAAATTAAGCCCTCCTCACTCACTCACTCTCTCAGAGGCCTACCCCAGGGACTCTCTGCTGTAGTTCAGCGATTGTCATCCTGTTGTACAACTGTTCGTTGTCTCGGCGCTGGTCCTGGGGGATTGTAATCTGAAAAAAATTGTCATTTCAAAAAGCATATGATACATTTGTCATTATAGATACACATGCACACACACACACACACACACACACATACTATATAGATGCAAGAATCTTGAACATTATGTTAAACCCATTTACCTCACCTCACCTCACCTCACCTCACCTCACCTCACCTCACCCTGCTATTGTATTATTGCTGTTCACAGTACAATCAACCCAAACTCATTCACTCACTAATAGAGTGATTCTTTCAAAAGATGCAAACACGAAATTATTTTCTGAAGTATCAGTTATGGAACTATGAGGGCTTTCACAAAAAAATCAGGGAAATGCTTGATCACTTAATTTGAATCTTGGAAAATAAATCTTGTTGCAATCAGTCTATCAAATATAAACAAATGAAATATATCCTCACTCCCTAATTTATCAGCAATCTGCAATCTAACTGTAAAAGTATACACCCAAAAATGACCAGATTCTTACATTAGCTAGTTCTGTTTCGAAGTCTATGATTTTGGAGATATCACTCTCAGCAACTGTCTCGTTAGCACCAAACATGATGGCCACATCTCGAGCATACTTCTCATATGCCAGAACAGACGGGTCGTCCCGACCTTTCAAGTAGTAGTCCCGAGACGGCATGCCAAGATCTGGTTGGTCCAGCTGAAACAGAATGGTGTATAACATGTATATGTCATATTACATATAGCATATAACACAGAGTGTTATTAGTGGCAGTTGAAATCATGATTTTACCATGACTTATGAATCTGAAATATACGGTTCCAATCCTGCTAGGGAAAACATTTGCACATTTAAGTTGATCTTTGACAATATTTTTCAATTGATTTCAAACACTAACATATCATCTGAATTTGAATGTTGATGTTAATATAGAGTTAGGAAAAAGTAAAACCGGGAAATAGGTCTTACTTACGAAAAGTAAAACCTGGGAGCAAACAAAAACCTCAAATGCGGTAATTCCGGGAAAATAAGCTATGTCTAATATATAGTGAGAAGCAGTCTTCAGGTTTATATTCCATTTGAATTACCTACAAGATTCAGTCTGCCAGGAAGACAGTCCAGTTATTGATCTGAGCTACAAGCTAATCTGATATGGGGTCCGTGAACCATAATACTGCATAAGACATAAACCCACCCACTCACTCATCCCTCTACCCACTCAACTAAACAAAAATGTCAAACCGAAACTTAACCACTCAGCCACCCACAGTGTCAAATTCGACACTCACTCACTCGATGATATCTTACCTGTAGGGGCGGTTGGGTAGCCTAGTGGTTAAAGCGTTCGCTCGTCACGCCGAAAACCCGGGTTCGATTCCCCACATGGGCACAATGTGTTAAGTCCATTTCTGGTGTTCCCTGCCGTGATATTGCTGGAATATTGCTAAAAGCGGCATAAAACTAAACTCACTCACTCACTCACTTACCTGTATGATATTGACTTGGGAGTTCTTGTCATCAGCACTGATCCACTGGTCTATGAGCACCTTGTTGTTGTACAGACGGAGCTTCAGGATCAGGTCCAGCATGTCATGGTCCTCCTCCTTCCACTCCGAGTCCAGCACCACCGGCCACCCTCCCAGCTCATTCAGCAGACTCTTCACCGGGCCCAAACCTTGAATATCTATCTGAGCTGAAACACAAGTAAAGGGGGAGACTACTCTCTTGGCTTCACCCATGAAAAATCATGACTTATCAATTTGAGCTGAAACACAAGGAAAGGGAGACTACTCTCTTGGCTTCACTATGCGAAATCCTGACTATATATCTGAGCTGAAACACAAATAAAGGGAGACTAATAATAAAAAATAATAATAATGAGAAGTCTTATCATGCGCTAATCTCCACGCAGCAAAGCAGGCTCAAAGCGCTAACACCCTGATTATTATTACCCCGGATAACCCAAGCTGCCTGTTAGGCGCTAGAAGGTTATAGTCACTTGACTTTATCCAACCGGGTACCCATTTTCTGCTGGGTGAACAGAGGCAATTTTTGAACAAACTCACTTGCCTAAGGTGAGACCACATGTATTACATGTGCTTTGTTGTGGGGCAGGACAGAAGTCCTAGAAACTGTCAGAAGTTAAGCTGCCAAACATGGTCACCCATCCAAGGATTGTCCGAGCTCGACGTTGCTTAACTTCAACTGATTCGTGACTTGCGCTCTGTGCACAGGATCACACGCCACCACTACTACTCTTTTGGCTTCAAGGGGCCCAAACCCTGAATATCTATCTGAGCTGAAATACAAGTAAAGGGAGACTACTCTCTCTGCTTAACCGGGTCCAAACCCTGAATATCTATCCGAGCTGCAATACAGGGCAAGGGGGACTACTCTGTCTCTGCTTCAAGGGGCCCGAACCCTGAATATCTATCTGAGCTGCAAACAGGGCAAGTTGGACTCAGTAACTCTCTGCTTCACTGGGCCAAAACCCTGAATATCTATTTGAACAGATACACACGTGAAGGGGTACTACTCTCTGCATCACCAGGCCCATAATGGTTGTCACCCCCTTCAATTTTTTTAATTGGAGAGAGGGTGTGTGGGGTTGGGGTGGGGAGGGGGGTGACAACCATTATTGGCATGAGTATATATTAGAGCTGAAACACATTGATATTTTAAGTGTTCATTCCTTTCTGTTGGGATACGATGACGCATCATCAAGTTTTAGTGACCTCTAAATGACATTAATGTGGTGCTAGAGGCAGATCACAGTATTCCCTGTATCAGGGGAAGACCCCAGTTTCAGGGAATGTAAGAGGCCAGCCTTGCATTGTGGCAGCGGATTTATTTCATGTCACTGAGATCTGTGTCATTATACATAATGGAGGCACCTACTTTCATTCACACAGGAGTCGTAGAGATATTTAGCTTTCCTTGTAGCTGCACTGTCCTTGTCTGTCACCGGTTCTTCCAGCAAACCTACAACATGGTCGCCATAGTAACTGAATGTGATCACCAACACAACTGAACATGATCACAATCGTAATTATCACCATTATTATTATTATTATTATTATTATTATAAGATACTTATATAGCGCACATATCCAGGCAACTAGTGCATGCTCAAGGCGCTGGTATTTTTCCCTCGATCATTGGATGTCAATCTCAACGGCACATCGTATTATCAATCTCAACTCCCTGGGGAGTATACAACTCTTGCAGCCACTAGGCGCACCGTAATAGAAAATCATAGCCATAGTTTCAGAACGTTGAGCAATAGTGATCGCCATGGTAACACAAGATGATCACTGTAGAAACAGACAATAACAATTCCTACTTTTATGTCAGTACATGTACATCAATCCATCAGTGACATGTGCCAACCGAATGATGTAAAAGTGTGTAACTCAACTATCTTGGTAGTTCTGGATAGCCTGGATTCTTTTTCGTCAATGACTTGCATGTTTTATTGTAAAATGAATGTGCTGTTAGGTTCAACCTGATTGGTTGAAAAATCATCACATGGGCATGGATCTGTAAACCTTTGTGACAGCTAATGCCATCACTTCCTAATGAAACTTCCAGGCATTGAATACTCGGTACCGAATACTCATTAACACATGCATATCTGAAAACAAATAATGTTTATCTCCTGTTTGTTGTTGTTTTTGTATCATATGATGAAGGGGATTGTCATGAAAGCACTAAACGCGAATAAGACCTGTTTCTTCGTCATGGAGAATACATGTAGAATTGGTAGAAGAGGCAATATAATATATCCATTTGTATATATTTACATCTAGGCATAAACATATCAGTTTTATGTGATGAATGTCTTGAGCTGCGATGAAGAATCAAAAACTAATTATCATGCATATTTCTGATGAATAGTAGAATCTATCTATAGAAGAATGCTATCTTCTCCACAACTATTGATATAACTAACAACACAAAATAACATCACAAATGTATCAAATACCTTTCAGCATTACTTGGATTTCATCTCTGAGTTTTGAAAAGGTATTAAAAGTTGCACGATCATCTGGTATGACATTAATATTGTTCCAGTTGCCGCAAGCGTATTGAAAAAAGTCTTCACAGGGATCAGCAGAAGCATCCATCGCATTAATCAAACGAGAAGCTGAAACAAATCAAGAGAAATATACACTAAAACACTCTGGAAATGTACAATCAGCTTGAACTCGGAATGACTGAAAGAGAAAGATTTTAGCAGTACATCTCAAAACGCACTGATTGACATTGTTGTGTTTGATTATCTATCGCCTTAGCACCTAGAACAACCTATATTCTTTTTTGTGACTTTTGCCAAATAATTATTAAAGTGAGGGTTTGTTTTCAAAATGTGTCAGTATAGTTTTCCAGGTGTGTCAAATTGTTCCATGTTCCTGTGCAACTTGGGTCAGGAAATATCTGGGAGTATTTTTTTCAAATTTTTAGAATTTTAAGCCAGTTCCCAGTAAAATGGGGAAAACCCCCAATTAGTTTGTTCATTGTTGGGTTTTCTTAGTAGTTTCTTTTACATTTTTTATTTCCATAAATTCAAAGATATATTAACATAACATATAGATCGGTTTTCTGTAACACTAATGATTAAATCCTTTTCCTACTGTTGGCCTTGTTATCAGAGAAATGACCAAATCAATAAAGATCACGTCACATAGCATAATTATAACTGAAATGGTTTTATTTGCAATTTTGGAGTTGTTGTTGATATGTATGTCTCCCTCCTGGTGTAGATAAAACCCCTTTGGTCACACCACATTTGCACCAACAATCCAATGTTTGTTTTTAGGGCATAGCAAGACCATGTCCATTATTGTACAGGTGTCCTTTGAGTGAGACTTAACCTTGTAATAACAATTTTGGAAGACATCTGGAACAGGCTTGGCCAGTTGTAAGGTTTCACCCGATTCAAAATACTGCTTCCTACAAGCATATATATTTTTAATGGATAAAATTTGATAGGCCACACTTATCCAGCCAGCCACACCCACCTAAAACACAACCACAGATCAACTCACTCACTCACTCACTCACTCACTCACTCACTCACTCACTCACTCACTCACTCACTCACTCACTCACTCACTCACTCACTCACTCTCACTCACTCACTCACCACTCACTCACTCACTCACTCACTCACTCACTCCACTCACTCCACTCAATTCAACTCAACTCAACTCAACTCAACTCAATATCTAAGAACAAAACTTACATGCTTTTACACAATCAGTTGATAGGCAAAGATCATTCATAGTCAGGTCAGGTGGTATCATTGGCTCTTCGACTTGGTTCCCTTTCTGGGCTGAATCCGACGGACGACCATCGGCACCCACTCCTTTCGTCTGCGGAGTATACCGCCATTTCTTGTGTTTCGCTGACTGTGGAGACAAGTCACCAGAGCTGCGAGAGCTGGCTGAATCATATCCTGAAGTAGACAAGCATGAACATTAACATTATAAACGATTGTCTTTTCGAACTCATAAATCAGTCATCAACGTGATTTCTCATAACAATTAACTGTAAGCTTGAACTGATAAATCAGGTGTGAGTATATGCAACAAAACACTTTCCACGCCCATAGGAAATCTCTAAAAGCAGAGTTGATTGTATAATTTTGACTATCACTATCAGTTATTGACGATATCAGGGGTTTGTGAAAAGCTGAGACTATCCTGCCCCATTGGTTGCACCCATTGTAAACAAATGCAAAGGTTTGTCAATTGCTCACCTAAAAAAATTCATGAACATATTCTACATGCCAAAAAAGGGAATTACACTGAACATCATTTTTGTCACAGATTCGTCAATTTCATGCACAAGCATCATTCAGTTATTGCTAAACTTTTTCAATATTTTAACTTACATTAAAAATATATTTTGCAGTAGTTTTTTAACTTTTGCCATACAGTTGCTGCCATCTGTATGTAACAATACTACCTGCCAGAGTGTCTGCTCTGAAGAGCCATAGAAGCATATCGCTACAATATCCACAAAACTGATTCTACCAAACCATCAACAGGAATGTCCACCAAAATGAATCTACAACACCATCAACAGGAATGTCCACCAAACGTATTCTACCAAACCATCAACTAAAATGTCCACCAAAATGAATCTACAACACCATCAACAGGAATGTCCACCAAACGTATTCTACCAAACCATCAACTAGAATGTCCACCTATATGAATTTACAACACCATCAACTGGAATGTCCACCAAACGTATTCTACCAAACCATCAACTAGAATGTCCACCAATATGAATTTACAACACCATCAACTGGAATGTCCACCAAACGTATTCTACCAAACCATCAACTAGAATGTCCACCAATATGAATTTACAACACCATCAACTGGAATGTCCACCAAAATGAATCTACAACACCATCAACTGAAATGTCCACCAAAATGATTCTACCAAACCATCAACTGGAATGTCCACCAAAATGAATCTACAACACCATCAACAGGAATGTCCACCAAACGTATTCTACCAAACCATCAACTAGAATGTCCACCAATATGAATTTACAACACCATCAACTGGAATGTCCACCAAACGTATTCTACCAAACCATCAACTAGAATGTCCACCAATATGAATTTACAACACCATCAACTGGAATGTCCACCAAACGTATTCTACCAAACCATCAACTAGAATGTCCACCAATATGAATTTACAACACCATCAACTGGAATGTCCACCAAACGTATTCTACCAAACCATCAACTAGAATGTCCACCAATATGAATTTACAACACCATCAACTGGAATGTCCACCAAAATGAATCTACAACACCATCAACTGAAATGTCCACCAAAATGATTCTACCAAACCATCAACTGGAATGTCCACCAAAATGATTCTACAACACCATCAACTGGAATGTCCACCAAAATGAATCTACAACACCATCAACTGAAATGTCCACCAAAATGATTCTAGCAAACCATCAACTGGAATGTCCACCAAAATGATTCTACAACACCATCAACTGAAATGTCCACCAAAATGAATCTACAACACCATCAACTGAAATGTCCACCAAAATGATTCTACCAAACCATCAACTGGAATGTCCACCAATATGAATCTACCAAACCATCAACTAGAATGTCCACAAAATGAATCTACAACACCATCAACTTTTATGTCCTCCAAAATGATTCTACAACACCATCAACTGGAATGTCCACCAATAATAATCTACCAAACCATCAACTAGAATGTCCACAAAATGAATCTACAACACCATCAACTTTTATGTCCTCCGAAATGATTCTACAACACCATCAACTGGAATGTCCACCAATAATAATCTACCAAACCATCAACTAGAATGTCCACCAATATGAATTTACAACATCATCAACTCTAATGTCCACCAAAATGATTCTACCAAACCATCAACTGGAATGTCCACCAATAATAGTCTACCAAACCATCAACTAGAATGTCCACAAAATGAATCTACAACACCATCAACTTTTATGTCCACCAAACTGATTCTACCAAAGCATCAACTTTTATGTCCACCAAACTGATTCAACCAAACCATCAACTAGAATGTCCACCAATATGAATTTACAACATCATCAACGCTAATGTCCACCAAAATGATTCTACATCACCATCAACTGGAATGTCCACCAATATGAATTTACAACATCATCAACTCTAATGACCATCTAACTGATTCTACCAAACCATCAACTAGAATGTCCACCAATATGAATTTACAACATCATCAACTCTAATGTCCATCTAACTGATTCTACCAAACCATCAACTAGAATGTCCACCTAACTGATTCTACAAAACCATCAATTGACTGTCTACCAAAATGATTCTACCAAACCATCAACTAGAATGTCCACCTAACTGATTCTACAAAACCATCAATTGACTGTCTACCAAAATGATTCCACCAAACCATCAACTAGAATGTCCACCTAACTGATTCTACAAAACCATCAATTGAATGTCTACCAAAATGATTCTACCAAACCATCAACTAGAATGTCCATCTCACTGATTCTACAAAACCATCAATTGACTGTCTACCAAAATGATTCTACCAAACCATCAACTAGAATGTCCACCTAACTGATTCTATCTAACCATCAATTGACTGTCTACCAAAATGAATCTACCAAACCATCAACTAGAATGTCCACCAAAATGATTCTACCAAACCATCAACTAGAATGTCCACCAAAATAATTCTACCAAACCATCAACTAGAATGTCCACCAAAATGATTCTACCAAATCATCAACTAGAATGTCCACCAAAATAATTCTACCAAACCATCAACTTTTATGTCCACCGAAATGATTCTACCAAACCATCAACTGGGAAATCTGCCAATATGAATCTACCAAACCATCAACTAGAATGTCCACCAAACTGATTCTACCAAACCATCAACAGGAATGTCCACCAAAATGATTCTACCCAACCATCAACTTTTATGTCCACCAAACTGATTCAACCCAACCATCAACTAGAATGTCCACCAAAATGAATCTACAACACCATCAATTTGAATGTCCACCAAACTGATTCTACCAAACCATCAACTTTTATGTCCACCAAAATGATTCTACCAAACCATCAACTGGATTGTCCACCAAACTGATTCAACCCAACCATCAACTTTTATGTCCACCAAACTGATTCAACCCAACCATCAACTTTTATGTCCACCAAAATGATTCTACCCAACCATCAACTTTTATGTCCACCAAACTGATTCAACCCAACCATCAACTAGAATGTCCACCAAAATGAATCTACAACACCATCAATTTGAATGTCCACCAAACTGATTCTACCAAACCATCAACTTTTATGTCTACCAAACTGATTCTACCAAACCATCAACAGGAATGTCCACCAAAATGATTCTACCAAACCATCAACTGGAATTAATGTCCACCAAAATGATTCTACCAAACCATCAACTGGAATTAATGTCCACCAAAATAAATCTACAACCAATCTGCTCCCAAACATGTTTGAAAACATATACCATCCTGTTAGAAATATATTTGTCAACTTGGTATAGTTGATGTTAATAAATAATGTAAAATGATTCACTGTAGGTACAAAAATTTATTGCATCTTTTAAAGTACTAACTTAAAATGTTGTGTTAAGTTAATATCCCAGCCTCCACGGAATATATTCCACTGAAATCAAATTAAGGACCACTAATTACACTAGTTAGGCTTCAATGAACCTCTCTTGCTCCCAAACTGTGCCAAACAAGGTCCACATACGAGTAAGGTGTCCGTAACATAAATCCATCCTTGTCCACAAACTGGGGTAATTACTTCCCAGAAAATCAGGTTTCACTGAACAAATGATAAAATGTAAACAATTCCCTGAACACAATGCAAGCTTAATCTGAAACCATGAAGCATACATTCTGTAGAGGTCAAGAGTTGATTTACTCAGAAACTTTTAAAAGGTCAGAGATTGCTTTATCAATAGACAGGAGTGATAATGACACTGATCCATATAAACCACGAGGACAAAAACTTCCTCAGCATACAGAGCACACAACTGTCTCTCATGGATCCCCGAAAAAAAAACACGCTCCAAGTTTGAGCTCCACAACGGCTGACATTTTGAAAGAAACCAATATCGGGGAAATCACATGTGGTTCTAATAAAAACAACTGAAGATGATCAATTTGTTATCATGTAGAAAAATGAAACAAGGAAATAAAGGTCATGTTTTCTTAGAAGATGAGTTGTTTGCTAGACAATGTAAGTTCTCTTCTCAAAACTCTTACTGTCAAGTGCAGTATCATGAGCCAAGAATCAGTAGTTAATATAATATTTTCTGTGCATTTGTAAATTTGTATAGAGTAAAAATTTGCTACCTAACATGTTAAGTCTGAAAACAATGTATAATGTTTAGACATTTGAGAAAATAAATATTTTATTTTTAACAATAAATTTTAAGACTTACTGCGGTAATTAATGTTAAATATTAAGAATTATGTCTTGTACTGACAATTAATACACATCATCTGATAGATTTACAGGTACTATGCAGTTGTTGAAGATGAAAGAAAAATCTTTTCAAGATCAGTGTTTACCATATGCAAGAGTGAACATACATATGTGGATAAATTCATACATTCTTACCTTGTAAAAGAAATCGGAGACAGTTCGTACCAAATTCTACAACTATGAAGCACAGAAACCAAATTTACCCAACTCCTTGTTAAACTACTGGTACCAATGACTAAAGGAAGTGCCGGCTGTCAGCTGGTTGTATCGGCCATGAAACACGATCATCGTACGTCATGCACACCTTAACACTATCAACACCAAAGGGTGTGTCGGTCCGAATACAAGCAGTCTATATTTTGTTTATGAATATCTCAATTTTTATTTCAGAT